GCCAAGCTTGTTTCAAGTAGGTGCTTTAGACCACTGAGCCATCTCTCCAGCCCTATTCTTTCCTATAATGTGACCTCTTCCAATCTTTTTAGTTTCAATTTCCAAACAAATAAAATGTGTGCCTAGCTCACAGCACAGGTGAGGATTAAAAAGCCATGTGTGAATGACGCAGGTGATCCCGAAGCCCACACATGATGATCAGGAAAGCTCCATCCCAGGTTGTCCGGATGGTCCAGCACACACAAATTACTATGGATAAAACATAGTACAAACAGAAGAAAGGACAAAAATCATGTGATCATCTCAAGGAATACAGAAAAATTTGCATTTTGACGAAATCCAAAATTTCCAATGTCTTCTCAAACTTCAAAGAGTTGCAAATAAATGCATAACAAATCTTCACATTTAAAAAACAAACAAACAAACAAGTAAGCCGTGTATGAGAAGGTCTGCACCATACCTAGGAACACAAGACCTGCTCAGTTCAGTCTCTGCTATTTTGAGGTAGGAGACTGAATTCTATGATGACATCCTGTTATTTTGAGATTCATAATTCATTAATTCCAGATCTCTTGGTTTCACTTCATGATCAAAAGAGTCTAATATTAAAAATTGGGATCTAGACTCCAGAACCGCAATTTTCCCAGTGATTCCACACGGCTATCGAAGTCAGACTCAACTAGCCAAGGCATGTTCTACCAACAGTGAACTTACTCGTACTATGATTTTCTATTTGAGTTTCTTTTTTATCAAAACTACTCTGAGTAAAACAGTGGATGAGTCATTCCTAACATACTGGTCTAATCAATTATGGTACTAAAACCAAAACACCTTTGCTCTGGATTTCTTCAGACAACATTTTAAAAAGTCAGGATACAACTGATGATAACTTGAAATACTTCATACATTTGCTAAATGTGGAATGCACAACAAATCGCATCTGTTAGTGACTGCTCCACTTGCATGTCACAAAAGAACCAATGCTGAGGGCCGGGGAGATGGCTCAGTGGAATAAGTGCTTCCCTGGCAAGCGCAAGGGCCTGAGTTCAATCCCTGGTTCCGCAAAAAAAAAAAAAAAAAAAAAAAAAAAAAAAAAAAAAAGAACCAATGCTGGGTCTGGAGGCTTGAAGAACTTGGCATGCAGCACACCCTGGATGTCAAGGGAACTAACACTTTCTGCAATTATTGACACATTCAAAGTCAAAGCACTACAAATTAGCTTAAAATCTAAAACTTCTCCAGGAGGAAATTGCCTGGCAAGCACAAGGCCTGAGTTCAATCCCCAGTTCCATCAAAAAAAAAAAAAAAAGTACACCTTCCCCTTCTCTGAAAAAACCTCTTACATGCAAACAGCTCTCAAATACTGAATATACTCAGTAAAAGACATCAGACTCAACAGGGTATTCCAAAATACTCCACTTTTACCGAGCTGATCTGTGCCGACCCAGGTCAAGGCCGCGGTCACCGCTGGTGGTGTGGAGTGGAAAGAAAGGGAAAGACAAGGGCACTTCCTGGAAGGTGAGTGCAGCCTAGCACGCCCAGCTGCGCGTGTCGGGCCGGCGACAACATGCCAGAGGTGAACGCGTAAAATCTATGGGGGAAAAAAGATCTATGTGCTTTTCTCTATGCATGTCTCACTTTTTTAACTTACAAAGAAAAAACCCCACAAGCCATTCGTATGGTGTATACCAGTGAACAGCACATAAATGTACTTCAAAGTTAGCTTTCTATGAAACTGTCATCACATTTATAATTCATTGTAATGTGCATTTTTTATCATTCCCACTTTCTCTTTTCTCAGAATTTTATTTATATTTACAAGTGTCTAACTGAACAATAAAAATTGTGTGTTAGCTAGTATAGTTTTGAAACGTAAGCTCTATGGAATGGCTATACAACTGACACATTTATTACCTCATGGACTTACCTTTTTGTGTACTGAAAACATTTAAAACCTATTTCACAACATTCAACAAAAACACATTTTTATTAAAGACAGTCCCCATTTTGTACAACAGATCTCTCAACTATCAATTTATTATCTTGCCTATTGTTTTTATTAAATTTACTTTTAACTGATAAATAAAAA